TCAGCATCAAAATGGAGGCACATGCCATTTCACATGGCTATTTAAAATACTTCCTTTCCCGGGGCGCCTGGGTGGCTCAGTCGTTAAGCGTCTGCCTTCGGCTCAGGTCATGATCCCAGGGTCCTGGGATCGAGTCCCACATCGGGCTCCCTGCTCAGCGGGAAGCCTGCTTCTCCCTCTCCCGCTCCCCTGCTTGTGTTCCTGCTCTCGCTAACTCTCTCTCTGTCAAATAAATAAAATCTTAAAAAAAAAAAATACTTCCTTTCCCTTCAACCTACATGCTTTAACCATTTTAATAATTAATGCAAGCATCATTCCCTTTACACTCCACAACATTGTTTCTATATCAAATTTTCATTGAAACATTTAAAATTACCTATTTCAACATACTTTTATATCTAAAAATGAGTTTGTATACAAGAATTATTATTAGCTGCCTTTATTACCTACTTGGAGCAAATAATTATATATTGAGATTGACACTGATTTGAGGTCATGCCCTATTAATGAAGAGCAATCAATTTTATCACCAATGGGTTATAAAAACAATTTTCGACTAAAATTTCCAAAAAAAAAAGTGTTTATCCAATTTTAGGAGCTTTTTTTTCATGACCAGGTTGAATTTTTTTATCTTTTTTTTTTTATTTAAAGGTAGTAAACTTCCAAAGAATCATGATAGAACTCATTTTAGATCTCTATTAAGAAGTACTCAGATCGAAGAGCACCTCCAAGCCTCCTGCCTTTGCAAACAGTTATCACTCTGAAGGTGCCTCTCTAAAACACCAGGTAAAAAAGTTCTCTGGGCACTTTTAAAAGCTTTCTACATATTCATTACAAGCAGCAAGAAGAAGTAACAAAATTAGATGCAATTTCAGATCTGGTTCCCAGAGTTCCACTCCCCTCCTTATGCAGCATCTCAGAAGAATTTCTGAAATGTTCTACCAGGACTCTGCGTCTTTATAACCTGTTAAAACAACAGTTTATAAAGTCAACTATGCCTGCATTCTTTGCTAGTTGGGATCCAAAGTCACTTTCTGATTTCCATTTCTATCACTGCCTCACTAAACCCTTGAGTTTCACAATTATGTTTCCATTTCCCCCAGGTAAGCTTCAGAGCCTCTTTCTTTCCTTTTTTGGAAAACCTGCCATTTCACATAGACTGGAGTTCTTCCCACTTCCTCCTCTGTGTGGAGTTGGGGTGGGATGGTATTTTTACTTATCCTTCTAGGTTTTCTCAGTCACTGATTTGAGTTTGCATTCTTCACCAGACCTATCATTGCTATTTTGCCAATTTGGTTATTTAGACAAAAAACACTGACTAAACTTAAACTACTTGCATTACTCCAGCCAGAAGTGAACTTCCCTCTCACCAAATAATCAGGGTAATTTTTCTAGGACATTTCTTACTTTCCCAACTAAGTGGTCAGTATTGGCTTTGAAGTGAGAAACATTTTGAATATGCACTACTTTTAGAGCCCCTGGGTAGCTAGCTCAGTGTCATGTGCTAAAAACAAGGTTTAGTAAGTCTATGGGAACCACAGAGCTCAAAAATCCACCACCAAAAGCTTTATCCACACTGCTCTGTGTAAATGAAAGAGTTCAAGAGACTGTAATAATGACACCAAACAATTGTTCTGTCAATGTGTATAATCAACTATTGCAAAAATTAACCCTTCAGGTGTCTGTGATGATGTTGACAAGCAACATATTCATATAAATCTTGTAGAAAAGTTATCCAGGGGCACCTGGGAGTCTCAGTCCATTAAGTGTCTGCCTTTGGCTCAGGTCCTGATCCCAGGGTCCTGAGATCAAGTCCCGCATCCTTGCTCCTTGCTTACCAGGGAGCCTGCTTCTCCCTCTGCCTGCCACTCCCCCTGCTTGTTCTCTCTCTCTGTGTCAAATAAATAAAATCTTAAAAAAAAAAAAAAGTTATCCAAATAGGCTACAATAGACCATGAGTTATGCTAATAATCCAATTTTAGAGAATATCAATCCATGCCTCTAAAATTTAATAAATTCCATGACAAGTGATTCACCCAACTGGAATCAGTTCACATAGCCTCTGGGATTCCACAAAGCACAAAACACAAGCACTCAGGGCTAAATGCTTAGCAATAGCTTATGTCTTAATAGACCTGCTCGACCATACCCACTCTCCCCTCTCAAAGTAGAAATAAGAAAAATAAGCAATTGAAGTAATGATATGAAGTATAAACAATGAATGTTAAGAGTTAATCCAATAAGGGGCGCCTGGGTGGCTCAGTCCTTAAGCGTCTGCCTTCAGCTCAGGTCATGATCCCAGCCTGGGAACAGGCCCCGCATCGGGCTCCGTGCTCGGCAGGAAGCCTGCTTCTCCCTCTTTCTCTCCCCCTGCTTGTGTTCCCTCTCTCGCTGTGTCTCTCTCTGTCAAATAAATAAATAAAATCTTTAAAAAAAAAAAAAAGAGTTAATCCAATAAGAACATTCTTTCAATGGAGAAAATACAAAAAACTAACTCTTACTAATACTTTTTAGCGATCTTTTATCAATCTATAAGGGATTTCTGCATATTATAAAATCTTATTTTTATTTATATTCTTAGAAATCCATTTTCCCCATTAGTCAAGTGAAATATGACATTTATTATTATTATTAATATTATTATTTGGTTATACTTCTTCAATAATAATGGGGATAATCACTAGCTACTTTTTTGAGCCAAGCATTTTAATTACATTATTTCATTTAAGCCTGTGAGTCTCCCTCTAAGGTTTGTGGTGTTGCCCCATTTCATAGAAGAGCAAAGTGGTTGAGTGACATAAATTACTCCTCAAGATCATGCAACTAGCAAAGGCAGGCTAGAGATCTGCCAGAGTCCACTTTATGTGTCAGCCTACACTCTTTCTGCCTTACTCCATTTCTCTCCTCAAACATCCTTCTGACCTGACCACTTATGGAACCCTTAAAAGTAACCAGATATTAAAAGTTAAAACCAACTCAAGGACCAGTGGTCTCTCAGAAACCTATGGACTAATAAAGACCTGCTTGCTGAAGACCATATACATGTTTTATTTACCTAAACAAATTTCATGGCATTTTTAGTTGTAAAAGTGCCTTGAACTATCTCCCACTGTTGAATGACAGGATGGGGAGGAAAAATTTAAGCCAAAACAATAATTTTGCCCAGACGTTATGAGTTCACGCTTATCTTCATAGCTTCAATCCCAGAGAGAATGGTCATTGTTTAGTCAACAGGCCACCCTACCACTGGGCTTGCTATACCCTAGCTCAACTCTCTGAGAGGAAAGGACTGCAAAAAAGAAACTGGAAGAGAGGGCTGAACAGGGAAGCCCATTCTGCATTTTGTGGAACTCCTTGAAAGGAAAGGGTTACATTCAAATCCACTAGACATTCTCCTCAGATCTCCCTCCACTCCTTCATCTAAACTTTTTGTCATAATCTCAGCATCAACTTACAAATGTAAAGTTGGCAGAAGTAAGCAAAATTTTTGTTTTTTCTGTAGAGAAATGCACATACATGCAACACACAGACATGGTGAAGTAGATGCTACATATTATTTCCTCTCTATAATTTGCAAATTCTCTGCAATGACTATGCAAATATTTCACAATGATAAAAATCATACCATCATTTAAACATTTTTTGTCTCCACTTCCACTGGTTCTTCATAGAAGTCTGCATTACTCTTAACTCTGCTGCATTTTATAAGGCAATAAACAAAAGTAAAACTTAGAATAAGACCAGGGGCGTTTAAGAGTACATGGTAGAAAAAAGAAAAAAAAATTTAATTGGTGTGGTTATTATTTCAGAAGCAAAACAGTTTAAATCCAGGGATAAATAGAAGCATCTCAAGGTCTCAAAAGACCTACTTGGGGCTATTCATAAATTTAATAATTAAGCATGTATAAAAATAATAGATATTTAGGCGTTCAGTTCATTTGTAGCCCAAAGTTTAATTTTGAAAAGTAACAAACCAAATTCTTTAAAACTGGCAATACCAATATAAATTAATGGAACTGGTTACTATAATTATATTTCATAAATATTGCATAATTATATTTTATAAATATTTATAAATATTGCAAAATTATATTTTATAAACAGATACCCATAATAATAATAACACTATTGGGTGGCTCAGTCCATTAAGCATCTGCCTTTGGCTCAGGTCGTGATCTTAGAGCCCTGGGATCGAGCCCCTTGTCAGTCTCCCTGCTCAGCAGGGTGTCTGCTTCTCCCTCTCCCTGTGCTACTCCCCCCACTCATGCTCTCTCTGTCCTCTCTCAAATAAATAAATAATTTAAAAATAATAATAATATAAAAATAATAACACTATCAATAACAATGCCTGACATTTATTGAATGCTTTCTAGAGATCAGCCAGGGACTAAGTGCTTTAAATGCATAATCTCTTGGAACGGTCAAAGCAACCCAATGAAGAAGGTACTTTCCTTTCTCCTATGCCTATTTCATGGATGAAAAAACTGAGGCTTAAAGAAGCTGAACAATTTAAGCAAACAGTAGTATTGGAATGCAAAGTCAGTTCTACCTTAAACACTATGCTAAAACCAAAATGTCTTCATACCGTTGAAATCAGTTAAATTGGCTTCCAAGATCAACACCTTTGGAGACAGTCATCTTCTTAGGGATGGGCCAAAATTTGGCAATGATAGAAATGTCACAAAATAGCAATCTTATGAAAACTCGGGAAATTTGGAAGACAGTATTACAAGTAAATGTTAATTCCCAAGACACCAAACTTACTCATTAGAAAATCTTGAACACCTTAATAAGTAGAAATTTGACCAAAGATGTTCCCTGATCTCTTTTTGGAATCTAGGATTCTGAATGAAAAAAATCTTTTGTGTTCTTCTTCATTGTCCATATATTTCATGATATCACATAAAACAAGTTATGTGGGTATTTGGGGAAAGTATGTATGTAAACCGTAACTTTCCAGTCACACTAAGAATATAAAAGTTTATAACTTTGGATCATACCTTGGTTTTCATGAACTTGGAGTGACTTTTGTAAACCTCTATTTGTTTGATCTCTTCTTCGCGGTCCTCAGTGTTCAGCACACCATTGGCTTTTAACATCTGGATCTCATCCTCCAGATCCCTTATGTTTCGCTCCAATGAAGCGATTTTTGTGTCCTGTTGTAAAAAAAAAAAAGAAAGAAAATTGTTTTTTCAGTATCATCAAAACAGAATTCCAGAAAGTAATTTGGGTAGTAAGACATTAACTATGATAGAGGCATAACCCTGAGTTCAGAACAACTTATGTTTTTCACTTTTGAGGATCATTTGTGAGATTACTTTTTAAGCTCTCAATAAAGATCATGTGACAATACAATATGGAGAATTGCCTAGATAGGTTTGTCTATACCTGGTAATCAAATTACCTAAGCAACAGTGACGAAAGTGATCTAAAGTGTTACAAAACACCATTTAAGTGGGCAAATTTGTAATTTCAGATATAGTTTACCAGCGTACAATTTCTAGTCTACTTGTAAACACAAAAACAGTTTGTTCATGTGTATACTATGTGCCTGGTTTTATAAGGCAAGCTTGGAATTTGACTCTGAGAGACAAGGAAATTAAAATCTACTAATGAGGAAAAGGATTCTCATCTAGAATACAGACATCAATGAAATTAAATAACTGAATCCTGACTTAGTATGACTGATATATTAAATATTGAAAATTTATAGCAACTGGAAATAATATATCACAACGTCATGATTTATTTGGCAAGCAGTTCCCTGCATGACAAAAAACATTTCTACTTTGCAGGGCATTTCTAATCTATTGACTTTCAGGTTGAAAAAACTAGAAATATTACACTCAAATGTGAGACTGAGAAAAAAAAAACAACCCCAGAGAATTTTTTTAAGGAAATGACAGACTCTACACACAAGATAGAGCATAATAAGAAATGATGCATTAAAAAGAAAAGAAGAGAGAGAGCTTTTATAGAGGAAAAAAACCTTTCCCCAACCTGAGGTGTTAAACTCCAACCAGTCTTTGGAATAAAATACATTGAAAGTTTGACTGTAAGTTTCCTCCCTGACACCATGTACCTGCCCTTTTATGGTACAGATCCAAAGAGCTGATATCACATTTGTAATTGAATGTTAATGAAAAACAAACAATTAACTCATTTTTTTTTTTACCAATTCATTTTCAGGAATCTAGAAGACGAAAGAGTTCCAAAAGTAAAGAAAATGGATGGCCTATTCTATTTAGAACTAACTCATAGGAAAAACTTTGCAAACATCTGTCCTGATTTTGTGGCTATTTTCCATTTTAATTTCCTATATTCTATTGTCGATGGCATGTCTCATGGGGCAATATAATAATCATTGCTATTATCACTTAACATTGTCATCTTCATTAAATGGAGGAAAATGAGGAGAAACAACTTCTTATTGAGTGCCACTACGTGTGAACATCCAAGAGCTCCAAGTGTTGAAGACATTTTTATTAATTCTCAGAAAAACCCCAAGAAGAAGAAATAAAAAGATTCTGAAATCTGCAAGATTATTATGGAATGTTATATTCTCTAGCATTTCATTTCCCTTTAAAAATAATATTTATTGTTATTCTTTCCAGTTATAAAAATAATGGCACTTTAAATTCCTAGAAAATGGAGAAAATCACCTCTAGTCCTACCATCAAGAGATAACCATCACTCATGTTTTATGTACAGACAGCTAGTCTTTTTCTATTCTAGATGCAATTTCTAGAAATCCTGTATACTGCCAGTTTGAGTGAAAGGAGTATCATGGACTAAATGTCTACATGCCTCCAAATTTCCTATGTTGAAGCTCTAATCCCTAATGTGAAGAAATGCAATGGTATTTGGAGATGAGGCCTTTAGGAGGTGATCAGGGTTACATGGGGTCATAAGGATGAAGTCCTCATAAGAAGAAACACTAGAGAGCTTTTTTATTCTCTCTTGCTCCCTGCCATGTGAGGACACAGCAAGAAGGTGGCCATCTGCGAGCCCGGAAGAGAGCTCTCACCAGAACCCAATCCCGCTCTCGCCCTGATCTGGGACTTCCAGCCTCCAGAACTGTGAGAAAATACATTTCTGTTCTTTAAGCCACCCAGAAGTGGTATTATGTTATAGCAGCCTGAGCTGACAAATGTAGGAAGGCATCTTTAGTGACTCTTTTGAGTTCTGAGCTATGAGAACTCTGTAGACAAGAAGAGCAGCAATAATAAAAAAGGATGCAGAAAAAGAACTTCTAAACATTCATAAGAGCCTTCTTAAATAAATGGCGGTCATTTTAAATCAACATTTTTTTCTGACTATAAAATTAAGACATGCTCACTATAGGACGCCTGGGTGGCTTAGTCGGTTAAGCGGCTGCCTTTGGCTCAGGTCATGATCCCACGACCCTAGGGTCTTGATCCCACTCTTGATCCCTGCTCTGCAGGCATCCTGCTTCTCCCTCTCACTCTGCCTGCAGCTTCCCCTGCTTGTGTGCTCTCTCTCTCTCTCTCTGTGTGTCAAATAAATAAATAAAATCTAAAAAAAAAAAAAAAGAAAAAGAAGACATGCTCACTATAGAAAACTTGAAAAGCTATGTAGATAATTATGACTGTACATAACCCCATCACCCAGATATACCCACTATTAACACTTTTATTTATTCCCATGAAAGCCTTAAGATTATATTACTACTTTAAAACATAAAAAAGGATAGTTATCAATTAAAACTCTAATCAAGGGGCGCCTGGGTGACTCAATTGATTAAACGTCTGCCTTCAGCTCAGGTCATGATCTCAGGGTCCTGGGATAGAGCCCCACATCGGGCTCTCTGCTCAGCAGGGAGTCTGCTTCTCCCTGTCACTCTCCCTCTGTTCTCTCCCTCTCTCTCTCTCTCAAATAAATAGAATCTTAAAAAAATAAAATAAAATAAAAATAAAACTCTAATCAATATGACAGAGATTTCCTCTTTTTGAGATACAATCTTTCAGCATTTACAAAGATCTAAGTACAATCTTTACAAGAGTTTAACTGTAAGTTAAGTGTAAAAGGAAGAGCCTACATCTGTGCTATTCTAATACAAAATCTTCTGGGATTTCAGACCCAAGTTTAAAGGAAGCATTTTCAAATGTATGTATGTATTCACACATATGCATGTATAAAAACGTGTGTGTGCAACATGCTTTGTGGTCCTCCTGTTTTACACCTTAATTTTTGATACACTTAGAATTTCAGGTCTCAATCACATAGGGGCGGAGGGGTAGAGTGCACCCTCAGCTTTCCCCTCAGTCAAATCCTGAGGCTTTAGTTAGCAATGACCACAATCGCCAGCTTCTAACTGGGTTAGAAGGAGCTTTTTACCACACTTTAAAAAATTACATACTGCTAAAGAAAGATCAGAACAGGGTTAAGATAGAAAGTTTTGTAACAAAAAACTTATCTTGACCTATATGCGTCTGAGTTAAAATTTCACCAAATAGTGAAACACATTTTAAAACTATTATTTTTAACTTTTACTAATTTCCTTAAATTAGCCAACTTTTCTTTTTCCTCACAAGCTTTTTTTCCCTTTAGCCACAGGTATCCCAAAATACTAAAAAAAAGAAAGGGTGGGGGGGTGTTGTGGAAGTCACTTTAATAATGATCTATTTTTTCCTGTCCTTATTTATGTTTCCGTACTTCAAGAAGTCACGTTTAAAGACAACAGAACTCAGACCTGAAATCTTGAGCATAGAGAAAAGGTGATAGGAGAGTATCATTAAGACCTAGAGAAGAGAACAGATACAAAATACATAGATATATCAGATGGTATATTGACTGTGCCCAAGAAGATACTCAAAATGCTGAGGCAGAGAAAGACGTGAAGAAATCCAAGTATGAAATATAAAGGTAAATAAAATGACTGCCATGGTCACAGCTACTCTACTACCTCAGTTTGAGGAATTCAGGGAGAAGAAATTTCATCTTTTTCTTTTTTTTCAAATCTCTAAAACTAAGATGAATTACTATAAACTTCTATATTTAAGGAGGACTATGGAAGGCAACCACCTCACGGTTCCTAATATGGCTCAATGTGGTATAATGGATGCTGCCCTTCAAAACTGAGGCTAACTGCACATCTCAAGAACTCTAAGCACTGATCTAGAGTGAAGACATAATGCTGTAATATCCTGAAAAGTGAAGTTTCAGAAGGGAGAGCAATATTTACTCCCAATCACCAGAGTTTTCTTCATCTGAACATCTCCACATGTTACTTACCACTGATACTTTAAAATAATTTATGTAGTGATTTTCAAGTATTCATTTTGATCATGTTTCACAAATAAGCAAACTCTCAAAGCAATCATTGTGGGCCTTCCTTGGGAGATGGAGAGAGTGAAATACAACATAGAACAGCTTTTCCCAAAATCCACAGAACACAAAAGCTCTGTGAAAAGGGCATTATAGGGTCAAATAAGTTTGAGAAATGCTTACTGGGGATTCCCTACGCACATTAGCATTAATGGCTCTGGGGAAGTTCTGTAGCAAAGTATTCTATTTAATTTGATTTTTCCCAGTATTATTCCTCTAGAAGTCAATTCTTAAAAAAAAAGGGGGGGGCAGAATTTAATGGCCACATTTAGCTCAGGGTTATATACTAAAGTGAAAAATCAAAACAGTGATTTGGATTCTTCAAGGGAAAACTTACCATCATTACCCTTCATTTAAAGTAATTAGGTGCTTAAATATCCAGATCACCTTGTTGGCTTCTGTAACTCAAAAGTGGTTTACTGAGAGCCTGCTCTGAGTTCAGAGCAGGGAAAGAACATAGACTCCCAGGCTCTCAGAACCTACCACTCCATGTCTCAAGTAACATTTTTCAAATAGTCTTGAGACAGGACAACCATGAAATTGTTTTGCTTTTATACAGTATTTTCATTAAGGACTGTAAGAACGTGGGACATAAAGTTTCAGGAGGAAAAAGAAACAGCTGAAATGTGTTTGCTCATTCCTTATTGGTTAGAAAAAAAATCTGAATTGAACATCTTTCAAATCATTTCTTTCCACACATTCATAAAATAATACTTGTAAAAATTTTCTTTTTTTTTTTAAAGATTTTATTTATTTATTTGACAAAGAGAGTCACAGCGAGAGAGGGAACACAAGCAGGGGGAGTGGG